AGGAGGAGCCCGGTCCCGACGAGCCTCATTAAGGAAGTGACGACCGGAGGAGGATAAAGACCAGAGAGAGACCAGAGAGAGACCAGAGAGAGACCAGAGAGAGAGACCAGAGAGAGAGACCAGAGAGAGAGACCAGAGAGAGACCAGAGAGAGAGACCAGAGAGAGAGACCAGAGAGAGAGACCAGAGAGAGACCAGAGAGAGACCAGAGAGAGACCAGAGAGAGACCAGAGAGAGACCAGAGAGAGAGACCAGAGAGAGACACCAGAGAGAGACCAGAGAGAGACCAGAGAGAGACCAGAGAGAGACCAGGGAGAGACCAGAGAGAGACCAGAGAGAGACCAGAGAGAGACCAGAGAGAGACCAGAGAGAGACCAGAGAGAGACCAGGGAGAGACCAGGGAGAGACCAGAGAGAGACCAGAGAAAGACCAGAGAGAGACCAGGGAGAGACCAGAGAGAGACCAGAGAGAGACCAGAGAGAGACCAGAGAGAGACCAGAGAGAGACCAGAGAGAGACCAGAGAGAGACCAGAGAGAGACCAGAGAGAGACCAGGGAGAGACCAGTCTCTCTCTGAGAATATGATGAGCTCTGGCTGTGTGGAATATGAAACTGGATTCTGAAAGATTGGACTGTTTTCTTTCAGCGGCAAAAATAAGTTTGTTGTTTGTTCCAGTCCCTGTGCTCGGATCCAGAGTGACAGCAGCGATCCCATTATCCCAGAGTGGAACCAAACTCTAATTGGGTTAAAACGACGCGACTTTGGCTCCGTTTGTGTTTTTAATTGAATAAAGTGTTGAGACCAGACTTTCTTTTGTTTGGCAGAAGTCGGACAAAGTTTGGAAAAGAAAAAAGTCACAAACACACTGTACTTTTAACATTACCTCAGCACCTCTACTCTGAGGAGCACAGAGACTGGGCCTCCTGTTGGGACTCAGAGGAGCACAGGGACTGGCCTCCTGCTGGGACTCAGAGGAGCACAGGGACTGGCCTCATGCTGGGACTCAGAGGAGCACAGGGACTGGCCTCCTGCTGGGACACTGAGGAGCACAGGGACTGGCCTCCTGCTGGGACTCTGAGGAGCACAGGGACTGGACTCCTGCTGGGACACTGAGGAGCACAGGGACTGGACTCCTGCTGGGACACTGAGGAGCACAGGGACTGGCCTCCTGCTGGGACACTGAGGAGCACAGGGACTGGCCTCCTGCTGGGACTCTGAGGAGCACAGGGACTGGACTCCTGCTGGGACACTGAGGAGCACAGGGACTGGGGCCTCCTGCTGGGACTCTGAGGAGCACAGGGACTGGGGCCTCCTGCTGGGACTCTGAGGAGCACAGGGACTGGGGCCTCCTGCTGGGACTCTTGAGGAGCACAGGGACTGGGGGTGTGTGTGTAGAGAGAGTAGTCTGGGCGTCTCTTCTTTCCGCTCCACACGACCCAACATCTGATAAAACAGAAGAAAGTTTTCCTATTTTTTGCTTTCCCAGTCATTTCCAGAGCTGATTGTAGATTATTGATAACATTTGCATATTCAGACCAGAGTCCATCCATATTCACAGTCTCTCCCGGTCGTGTTTTCAGACAGCCATGTGGGTCTGGGTCTCAAACCTCCCGTCAGCTCCATTCTGGGCTCAGAGCTCCAGGACACCTCTAACATTTCATTCAGAGCTGTCGGATTGGCATTTTTCTGTTTTAGGCCCAGACTTGTGTTTCCATGTGTCACAAGCCCAAAGCAACAAAATAACCTTTAGTTTTTAATGCTTCCAGAAACTCCCGCTATTTTAGGTCCTTCTGTCTCCTTTCTTCGTCCGACCAGATCAAAGATGTCACGGTTTATTATCAGAGTCAAAACAACAACAACATAACAATAAAGTGTATAATAAATGCTAATGCTAATATGCTAATAATAAATGCTTAACACGTATTTATTCTCTGTAAAGTCATCTGCAGCTGTTTTGATCGTTCCCAAACCAGGACAAATTCAAGTGGAAGAAAACAGAACACACCAGATCAACAGAGGTTAAAACAGATCCAACTGTTAGAGGCCGTCCTGCTATTTTTTTATTATTTTAAAAACACAAACTTTTACAAAATGGCAAATGATGAGCTCGAAGCTAACCACAGTGTTGTCCCGGTGCGGACTTTTTAGATGATTTTAACCTAGTTTTATTTTGATATATGGGTCTTGTATGTATGCTCTTGTAGTTTGAGTCTGCTTCCTGTTTCCTGTTGTTAGCCCCGCCCCTAAAGTGTGTTTCCTGTGTGTGTTTGTTGTTGTCTGTCTAGTTTTTCAGGCCTGCATTTTTGGGTTCCTTCATTCATCTCAGCACGAGACAAAGTTTTTCTCTCCTTCTCTTCTTCAAAATAAGGCTTTTCCACCATTTTCCATAAAGATCTTCCGTAATAACCTTGAAATATGTTGTGTTTACCGACCTGGGTGTGTAATATACCAGCGGCTCATCAAACTCTGACAACGTTTTGCGAATAAAAAGCCTACACTGCAAAAAATGATTAATTATAAAGTAATAATTGCTCGATATTAGTTTTATTGTTTACATTCTGACGAGATTTACCAACGGCACGAAGCTTTTTATGTCTCATTTCAAGAACTCTTGCTTTTTTTTCCTCATTCCAACAAAGACATTTCTTCATTTAATTCAATCCGATCTAATTTATTTATATCGCACATTTAAACAACAGTCACGTTTTCAAAGTGCTGCACAAAGTATAATATATGCATTAACAAGTATAAAAACATGAAAAATGTATCTTTAGCTCCACCAAGTATGAAATATTAATCATTCAAATAAGATCATTCTGCTTTGAGTCTGCTTTTGAGTCAGAATGTGCTTGAATTTAGATACTTTTTCCCAAATTTGATCCAATTTTAAACTAGTTTTTCATCCCTTTTTGCAGTGTACTGTATATATAACTGCCTTTGTTATCATTCCAATCCAACACATGGACTCAAATGGCCCAAAACCACATTCTTTTCTGAAAAATACTTCAGCTAAAGCCTGTTGTCTTTTGTTTCCTGTCGGGACGCTTCCGGCAGCAGTTTTTGTCCCGTCTCTCTCGGCCGGTGGCGAGGATTCCCTGCGGCGATTATTCACCGGGAGACAATCTGCGCTGGCTGTGCTTAGGTTTTCTACTGGGGTAAGACAAATGTGACCCACGTGATCAGGGATTTGTCCAGACATTGGGGATCAGGGATTTGTCCAGACATTGGGGATCAGGGATTGGTCCAGACATCGGGGATCAGGGATTGGTCCAGACTTCGGGGATCAGGGATTGGTCCAGACATTGGGGATCAGGGATTGGTCCAGACATTGGGGATCAGGGATTGGTCCAAACTTCTGGGATCAGGGATTGGTCCAGACTTCGGGGATCAGGGATTGGTCCAGACATTGGGGATCAGGGATTGGTCCAGACATTGGGGATCAGGGATTGGTCCAAACTTCTGGGATCAGGGATTGGTCCAGACTTCGGGGATCAGGGATTGGTCCAGACATTGGGGATCAGGGATTGGTCCAGACATTGGGGATCAGGGATTGGTCCAAACTTCTGGGATCAGGGATTGGTCCAGACTTCGGGGATCAGGGATTGGTCCAGACAGCGGTGATCAGGGATTGGTCCAGACATTGGGGATCAGGGATTGGTCCAAACTTCTGGGATCAGGGATTGGTCCAGACATCGGGGATCAGGGATTGGTCCAGACAACGGGGCTCAGGGATTGGTCCAGACAACGGGGCTCAGGGATTGGTCCAGACTTTGGGGACGTACAGGAGAGAGCAGCAGCCGCTCTGGAGGAGAAGGCTCTTTGAACGCTGAATAATGTGAATAAATGGGATGCGACCAAAAGCATCCGTCACAATAGAACAGCTTTGTCCCGAACGTTTGACTCCGGACTGACCTGAAATCCTGTGTCAGGCTCCTACACTGCAGAAAGAAAAACAAGCAAAAAAGGGCTCAAATTTGTCTTCATTTGAGCACTTTTTGACTGAGCCTTAGAACCAGATTTGCCGATGAGACGAGCCAGATGAACTAGTTTGAAAAGATTAAAGAAATGTCTCTCTTGGAATGAGTAAAAAGAAACTATTCTTGACACATACATGAATGTGTTTTGACTGCAGCGCTTTGTACACACTGTTTTTGAAAAGTGCTAAACAAAATAAAAAGTATTATTATATTATTATAACAAAGCAAAGTCATTTTCAACACTGCATCATCGCAAATACACCCATTTTTATTATTATTTTGTTTTAATTTAATTTATTTCAGAAGACAAGTTAAGACGTAGAAAACAAGACGGAAAATGTTTAAAATCAAAAAGCAAAACAAAACTTCATGATCAGAATCAAAAGGCATGATCCCGTTTTTATCATTATAGGCCTTTACCAATTAGTCTAATATGAGACTAATTGGTAAAGGCCTATAATGATAAAAACGGGATCATGCCTTTTGATTCTGATCATGAAGTTTTGTTTTGCTTTTGATTTTAAACATTTTCCGTCTTGTTTTCTACGTCTTAACTTGTCTTCTGAAATAAATTAAATTAAAACAAAATAATAATAAAAATGGGTTGTATTTGCGATGATGCAGTGTTGAAAATGACTTTGCTTTGTTTTAATAATATAATAATACATTTTATTTTGTTTAGCACTTTTCAAAAACAGTGTGTACAAAATCGCTGCAGTCAAAACACATTCATGTATGTGTCAAGAATAGTTTCTTTTTACTCATTCCAAGAGAGACATTTCTTTAATCTTTTCAAACTCGTTCATCTGGCTCGTCTCATCGGCAAATCTGGTTCTAACGGCTCAGTCAAAAAGTGCTACAAATGTAGACAAATTTGAGCCCTTTTTTGCTTGTTTTTCTTTCTGCAGTGATAGGAGCCTGACACAGGATTTCAGGTCAGTCCGGAGTCAAACGTTCGGGACAAAGCTGTTCTATTGTGACGGATGCTTTTGGTCGCATCCCATTTATTCACATTATTCAGCGTTCAAAGAGCCTTCTCCTCCAGAGCGGCTGCTGCTCTCTCCTGTACGACCCCAAAGTCTGGACCAATCCCTGAGCCCCGTTGTCTGGACCAATCCCTGAGCCCCGTTGTCTGGACCAATCCCTGATCCCCGATGTCTGGACCAATCCCTGATCCCAGAAGTTTGGACCAATCCCTGATCCCCAATGTCTGAGACCAATCCCTGAACACCGCTGTCTGGACCAATCCCTGATCCCCGATGTCTGGACCAATCCCCAGATCCCAGAATTTGGACCAATCCTGATCCCCAATGTTCTGGACCAATCCTGATCCCCAATGTCTGGACCACATCCCTGATCCCCCCGAAGTCTGGACCAATCCCTGATCCCAGAAGTTTGGACCAATCCCTGATCCCCACGTCTGGACCAATCCCTGATCCCCAATGTCTGGACCAATCCCTGATCCCCGAAGTCTGGACCAATCCCTGATCCCAGAAGTTTGGACCAATCCCTGATCCCAATGTCTGGACCAATCCCTGATCCCCAATGTCTGGACCAATCCCTGATCCCCCGAAGTCTGGACCAATCCCTGATCCCCGATGTCTGGACCAATCCCTGATCCCCAATGTCTGGACAAATCCCTGATCACGTGGGTCACATTTGTCTTACCCCAGTAGAAAACCTAAGCACAGCCAGCGCAGATTGTCTCCCGGTGAATAATCGCCGCAGGGAATCCTCGCCACCGGCCGAGAGAGACGGGACAAAAACTGCTGCCGGAAGCGTCCCGACAGGAAACAAAAGACAACAGGCTTTAGCTGAAGTATTTTTCAGAAAAGAATGTGGTTTTGGGCCATTTGAGTCCATGTGTTGGATTGGAATGATAACAAAGGCAGTTATATATACAGTACACTGCAAAAAGGGATGAAAAACTAGTTTAAAATTGGATCAAATTTGGGAAAAAGTATCTAAATTCAAGCACATTCTGACTCAAAAGCAGACTCAAAGCAGAATGATCTTATTTGAATGATTAATATTTCTACTTGGTGAGCTAAAGATACATTTTTCATGTTTTTATACTTGTTAATGCATATATTATACTTTGGTGCAGCACTTTGAAAACGTGACTGTTGTTTAAATGTGCGATATAAATAAATTAGATCGGATTGAATTAAATGAAGAAATGTCTTTGTTGGAATGAGGAAAAAAAAGCAAGGAGTTCTTGAAATGAGACATAAAAAGCTTCGTGCCGTTGGTAAATCTCGTCAGAATGTAAACAATAAAACTAATATCGAGCAATTATTACTTTATAATTAATCATTTTTTGCAGTGTAGGCTTTTTATTCGCAAAACGTTGTCAGAGTTTGATGAGCCGCTGGTATATTACACACCCAGGTCGGTAAACCCAACATATTTCAAGGTTATTACGGAAGATCTTTATGGAAAATGGTGGAAAAGCCTTATTTTGAAGAAGAGAAGGAAGAAAAACTTTGTCTCGTGCTGAGATGAATGAAGGAACCCAAAAATGCAGGCCTGAAAAACTAGACAGACAACAACAAACACACACAGGAAACACACTTTAGGGGCGGGGCTAACAACAGGAAACAGGAAGCAGACTCAAACTACAAGAGCATACATACAAGACCCATATATCAAAATAAAACTAGGTTAAAATCATCTAAAAAGTCCGCACCGGGACAACACTGTGGTTAGCTTCGAGCTCATCATTTGCCATTTTGTAAAAGTTTGTGTTTTTAAAATAATAAAAAAATAGCAGGACGGCCTCTAACAGTTGGATCTGTTTTAACCTCTGTTGATCTGGTTGTGTTCTGTTTTCTTCCACTTGAATTTGTCCTGGTTTGGGAACGATCAAAACAGCTGCAGATGACTTTACAGAGAATAAATACGTGTTAAGCATTTATTATTAGCATATTAGCATTAGCATTTATTATACACTGTATTGTTATGTTGTTGTTGTTTTGACTCTGATAATAAAAAACCGTGACATCTTTGATCTGGTCGGACGAAGAAAGGAGACAGAAGGACCTAAAATAGCCGGGAGTTTCTGGAAGCATTAAAAACTAAAGGTTATTTTGTTGCTTTGGGCTTGTGACCACATGGAAAACACAAGTCTGGGCCTAAAACAGAAAAATGCCAATCCGACAGCTCTGAATGAAGCAATGTTAGAGGTGTCCTGGAGCTCTGAGCCCAGAATGGAGCTGACGGGAGGTTTGAGGACCCAGACCCACATGGCTGTCTGAAAACTCGACCGGGAGAGACTGTGAATATGGATGGACTCTGGTCTGAATATGCAAATGTTATCAATAATCTACAATCAGCTCTGGAAATGACTGGGAAAGCAAAAAATAGGAAAACTCTTCTGTTTTATCAGATGTTGGGTCGTGTGGAGCGGAAAGAAGAGACGCCCAGACTACTCTCTCTACACACACACCCCCAGTCCCTGTGCTCCTCAAGAGTCCCAGCAGGAGGCCCCAGTCCCTGTGCTCCTCAGAGTCCCAGCAGGAGGCCCCAGTCCTGTGCTCCTCAGAGTCCCAGCAGGAGGCCCCAGTCCAGTGTCCCAGCAGGAGTCCAGTCCCTGTGCTCCTCAGAGTCCCAGCAGGAGGCCAGTCCCTGTGCTCCTCAGTGTCCCAGCAGGAGGCCAGTCCCTGTGCTCCTCAGTGTCCCAGCAGGAGTCCAGTCCCTGTGCTCCTCAGTGTCCCAGTCAGGAGTCCAGTCCCTGTGCTCCTCAGAGTCCCAGCAGGAGGCCAGTCCCTGTGCTCCTCAGTGTCCCAGCAGGAGGCCAGTCCCTGTGCTCCTCTGAGTCCCAGCATGAGGCCAGTCCCTGTGCTCCTCTGAGTCCCAGCAGGAGGCCAGTCCCTGTGCTCCTCTGAGTCCCAACAGGAGGCCCAGTCCCTGTGCTCCTCAGAGTAGAGGTGCTGAGGTAATGTTAAAAGTACCTGTGTTTGTGACTTTTTTCTTTTCCAAACTTTGTCCGACTTCCCAAACAAAAGAAAGTCTGGTCTCAACACTTTATTCAATTAAAAACACAAACGGAGCCAAAGTCGCGTCGTTTTAACCCAATTAGAGTTTGGTTCCACTCTGGGATAATGGGATCGCTGCTGCACTCTGGATCCGAGCACAGGGACTGGAACAAACAACAAACTTATTTTTGCCGCTGAAAGAAAACAGTCCAATCTTTCAGAATCCAGTTTCATATTCCACACAGCCAGAGCTCATCATATTCTCAGAGAGAGACTGGTCTCTCCCTGGTCTCTCTCTGGTCTCTCTCTGGTCTCTCTCTGGTCTCTCTCTGGTCTCTCTCTGGTCTCTCTTGGTCTCTCTCTGGTCTCTCTCTGGTCTCTCTCTGGTCTCTCCCTGGTCTCTCTCTGGTCTTTCTCTGGTCTCTCTCTGGTCTCTCCCTGGTCTCTCCCTGGTCTCTCTCTGGTCTCTCTCTGGTCTCTCTCTGGTCTCTCTCTGGTCTCTCTCTGGTCTCTCTCTGGTCTCTCCCTGGTCTCTCTCTGGTCTCTCTCTGGTCTCTCTCTGGTCTCTCTCTGGTGTCTCTCTCTGGTCTCTCTCTCTGGTCTCTCTCTGGTCTCTCTCTGGTCTCTCTCTGGTCTCTCTCTGGTCTCTCTCTGGTCTCTCTCTCTGGTCTCTCTCTCTGGTCTCTCTCTCTGGTCTCTCTCTGGTCTCTCTCTCTGGTCCTCTCTCTCTGGTCTCTCTCTCTGGTCTCTCTCTGGTCTCTCTCTGGTCTCTCTCTGGTCTTTATCCTCCTCCGGTCGTCACTTCCTTAATGAGGCTCGTCGGGACCGGGCTCCTCCTGGTCCTGAAGCTGCTGCAGGACCAGGAGGAGACCGTCTGCAGCATCTGGCATCTTCACAAAACACTGGAGCGAAACTGCAAAATGACTTTCATCTCTGAAGCGGGTTCCATCTTGAAAATTAAAACTCAAACGATAAAGGTGCGGTAAAAGCAAAAAAAATAAGTCTCAGTTTGATCGATCAATGAATCTAATATAACCAACTTTTCAATTCCAATTTAATCCAATGTATTTTTGAATACAATTTTTAGATTTTTGGGGCATTTTAAGGGACTTTTAAATTTTCTAATTTTAACTCGTGCCTCAGACTCCTTTTTTTTTTACTATAATAGAGTCAAAAACATCCTGCATCTGTATTTTTGAATAGCTCTAAATCTCAACACCAGTCGTCTCGGGGGACTTAACAAAGTTGCCGATTGGCCAACAGATCAGAGACGTAGGAAGTGCAGTAATAACAAACCCTCGGTCTCTGATTACTGTTCCGGAGTCTGCAGCCGCTTTTCCTCCTTTGCTTTTCCATTTTAATCTCCTCTAATCATTTTTATTCACATGTTTATCCAACAAAACAGATTAGTCAGACTTCAGACTTCACTACAAGACGTGGATTTGGAAAACTTAGCCGTGTCTGGAGGACGACAAAACACCAAGAGAAAACATATCTTTGGACAGAAGCTTGAAAGTCGGCCAAAAAAAACTTAGAATCTTTAGAATCAGAAATGGGACTTAACCAAATTCTGGAATTGAATCTGAATGGTCCAACCGTCCTCAGACCCCAGCATCGGTAAAGGAACGACTCAAAACTGAGACTGATAAAGTGAGAAACCTCAGCGAGCCCCATGACGAGAGAAGGATCCTCTCCCACGGACGGACAGGCTGTACACTGCAAAAAAGTGACAGAAACAAGCCACAACATTTCTAAAACTTTGCAAAATGTGTCTTAGTCTGAGCACATTCTGACTGAAACTTGAAACTAGATTTTCCGACGGGACAAAGCCTTGAAATGTCGTCTTTGGAATGAGAAAATAAAGTAATGGTTCTTGGTCAATCTTGTTTTAAGGCAGACAGAATGTACTTAAATTAAGATAAAAAACTACTGCGGTCCAACCATAATTTTTCAAAATCTCGATTGTTGCATAAATAACATAATTAACTCACGATTAATTGCACATTTTTATCTACTCTTTATGTCTCTTGCGTTATCATTTAGATACTATTACCAACCTGGAGAAGTGACTCGGCTCCCAGTGCTTTTGTTTTTATTGATAATGTGTGGCGTTATATTTCACACAAAATGTCATACATTAAACATATTTAGAACATTTGGAACAAATGGAAACAAAAAGCCCTTTTTTAAGGATCAAAACAGTGGGATACAAAATAGTAGAAAAGTCTAAGTTTGTTCTGAGCTGCTATAATTATTATAGATCCATATGTTATTATTATTGATCCATATGTTATTATTATAGATCCATATGTTATTATTATAGATCCATGTGTTATCCATGTGTTATTATTATAGATCCATGTGTTATTATTAT